AAGACAGGGTTCAGTTAAGGCTGAATCTGGTGGAGGAAAAGAACAAGGGGTCACATGGTAGAACCTGATATGATGGAAGTCTGATCTATAAAGGGAGGGACATTCTTAGATTATACTATTTTGAGAACCTGATAAAAATAATATTTTGTTAAAAATGCACACACAGACATTTTTATACACTTCTCAAAATAGTTCACATTCAAGCCAATTAGGAATATTTAGTGTAAAAGCTTCCAGGTACAGTCCATGAGGGAAAGTTACTTCCTTCTTTAAGTAAATCCCTAAATAAGCTTAGAGGGCTGGGAATGTGGCTCAGTGGTGGATTGCTCACCTACTTGGGTGAGATGCTGGGTCTGATCACCAGCATTAAAAACAAACAAAAGAAAACCTAAACAAATTCAGAAGAGTCAGAAGGAAAAATGTGGAGACAAGGATGGTTCTTTCTAGAAAGCTAGAACTTAAACAATCCTAAATTATAACCTTTTCCCCTCCACGGTTGAAGATTGAATCCAGAGCATTGCTAGGTAAGTGCTCTACCACTGAGCTACACCTCCAGCCCCTGTAATTTTTCCCTCTGTTATATATTCATTTCTTAGTCATTTGTATTTAAAAAGGGAAATACACAAAAATATTCAATATATATTTTTGTACAAAAGATGGGCAAAACTGAACTCCTGGGTATGAACCCCACTTTATTGATTGTGAGGTATTTGACAACTCAAGAATAAAACTCCATACTAAATGTGTACAGAAGGTATGGGAATATAAGTATGCAATGCTTAAAAAAGATGACTTAAAAAAAAAATCCTAAATGGGGGTCACATTATACAAATTGCTTTGCAATTGAAATGTAACTTAAAAAGCACTGGCTGTTATCAATACCACAGGTCAAAAAGTCCTAGATTTATTTTGTAATATGAATGCTAAACATCTTTTTTGATTTTCTAATAGGGTGTTCATCTCTCAGCACCAGGCCTTTGTACATCGATAGCCTTTGGCTGGGCATGGTGATGCACACCAGCTACTCAGGAGGCTTAGGCAGGAGGATGACAAGTTCAAGCTCCACCAGGGTACATTAGCAAGACCCTGTCTCAAAATAAAATTTAAGGCTGGGCGTGGTGGCACATGCCTGTAATCCTAGCGGTTTGGGAGGCTGAGATAGGAGGATAGTGAGTTCAAAGCCAGCCTCAGCAATTTAGAGAGGTGCTAAGCAACTCAGTGAGACCCTGTCTCCAAAGAAAAATACAAAATAGGGCTGAGGATATAGTTTGGTGGTAGAGTGCTTGCCTAGCATGCATAAAGCCCTGGTTAAAACACACACACACACACACACACACACACACACACACACACACACCTAGGTCTTTGCTATGCTGCAAATATTTTTTCTGTATTGGATAAAAAGAAGTAAAAACACCAATCAATTTTGGAGATGCACTACTGGATAAAAAAACATGGCTGACATGTTTTTCTTTTCTTTTGAAGTGCTGGGGATTGAACCCAGGGTCTTGTGTGTGATAGGTTGAGAGCTAAATCCCCAGCCCCAGCCCCCTGATACTTTCTAGTCATAAAATTATTGAGGGAAATTACTTAACTGGTGTCTATTAAACATCTGTATATGGGAACAACAATACCAACCTCTTGAGGTTTTTATGAGGATCAAATGATTTTCTTTCTTTTTTCTTTTTTTTGAGATGGGTCTTGTTATGCTGCCCAGGCTGAGTGAATTTATCCTGTCCTCCTGCCTCAGCCTCCCAAGCACTGGGACCATAGGCACATGTCACAATGCCCAGCTCAAATAATTTTTTTTTTTTTTTTGGTACCAGGGATTGAACTCAGGGGCACTTGATCATTGAGCCACATCCCCAGCCCTTTTTTGTATTTATTTAGAGACAGGGTCTCACTGAATAGCTTAGCACCTTGCTAAATTGCCGGGGCTGGCTTTGAACTCATCCTCCTGCCTCAGTCTCCTGAGCTGCTGGGATTATGGACACGTGCCACTGCACTCAGGTTTGTTTTAGTTGTAGATGGACAAATAACTTTATTTTTAGGTGGTGCTGAGGATCAAACCCAAGGCCCCGCACATGCTAGGCAAGCACTCTATTGCTGAGTCACAACCTCAGCACGCTGTATTATTATTTGGGGTAGGTAATGGGGATTGAACCCAGGGGCCCTCAACCACTGAGTCACATCTCCAGCCCCTTTTATATTTTATTTAGAGACAGAATCTGAGTCGCTTAGTGCCTCACTTATGCTGAGGCTGGCTTTGAACTCGCAATTCTCCTGTCTCAGCCTTCAATCCAGCTCATCTCCCTAACAAGTTCAGAACAATGTTCAGCACATATGAAGCCTGATGTAACTGTTACCTTTAATGACAATATCATATATGCATTCACTTATTTCTGGTCATAGTCAGCTTTTGGTGTTAGTCAGCTTTCTGTTGCTGTGGCAAATACGAGGTAAACTACCTATCAACAAGAAGAGAAAGGCTTATTTTGGCTCACAGTTTCCAAGGCTTCAGTACATGGCTGGCCCGGTTATCTTTGGGCCTGTGGTGAGACACTTCATCATGACAGTGGGAGTGTGTGATGGAAGAGGCTACCCACATCATGGTGCCCAGGAAGCAAGAGAGAGGGGTCAGCTGAGGTGCCAGGATCTCCTTTAAGGGCGTACCTCCAGTGACCTCACTTTCTTACAGTAGGCTCCACCTCCTCAAGATTCTGTTACCTCTCAACAGCATCACAGGTTGGGGACCAATTTGTCAATATGTGGGCCTTTGAGGGAGGGTATTGAAGGTCCATATTATAGAGTTCTGTACCTGGCCCCCAAAAGTTCAGGTCAATTTCACAATGCAAAAAAAGTCTCCAAAGTCTTAATTATTCCAACCTTGCTCAATAATCCAAAGTCTCCTCTGAGACTCAAAGCAAACTCTTAGCTTTGAACCTTTAAAACAAAAATCCTTTGCTTTAATTTTTTTTTTTTTTTTTAGTCATAGAGAAACACAAGACCTTTATTTATTTTTATGTGGTGCTGGGGATTGAACACATGTGCTAGGTAAGTGCTCTGCCACTAAGCACAACCCCAGCTCTTAAAAAAAAAAAAAAATCCTAAAAACAAGTTACATACTCCCAAGATACAATGACATAGAGTAAACATTCCCATTCCCAAGAGAAGGAGTAAGGGCATGGACAGCATCAGACCAAGACTGAAACTTAGCAGAGCAAACATTAAGTGCTATAGCTTCGTGCCCAGCATCCAGGGCACATGGTGGTGATGTGACTACCGAAGGGCTTGGAGAGTACCACCCCTACAACTTGCTGGCTGCAGCCACCACGGCCACTCTCTTCAGTTAGTTCTGCTTGCTGCTTCTGGATTTCCTCAGCAGGCATTCCTCATTCTGGCATCTTCGGCTTCCTGGGGTATCCACTGTAGCTTCGGCTTCACTCTGTGTTCTGCAGTAGGGGCTGCTTGCAGAAACTGACCCTGCCACACACTGCCTAGCCTCCCATGCTCTCCTTTGAAATCTCAGTGGAAGCTTCCAAGACCCCATGAGTCTTGCATTCTAGATGCCTGTAAAACCAGCATCCTGTGGATTATGTCAAGGCCTGCTTCCAGCATGAGCTACACCAGGGCCCACTTCAACCAGGCTGCAGGGCCTTGAGGGTTCAACACAGGCAAATCCCAGGGAAACCATTCCCTAAATTGTTCTGTGCACCCTGGGCTCTCCTCAAAAGAACATAAGATTATACTCTGTAACTTTTGAAAAGCCTGTGATAGGTGGAGTCTTGGAAGATTCTGAGATGCTCTCAAGGCATCTTTTTTATTGTTCTGGTGCAAAGAATCTGCTTTTTAAAAAAAACAGCCCTACCTGGCAACACCTTTAAACATGTTCCTTTTCTAAGGGGAATCACAATTTTTTTGGGAGTGGGTGTGTACCAGGGATTGAACTCAGGAGCACTTGACCACTGAGCTACCTCCCCAGCCCTATTTTATTTAGAGACAGTGTCTCCCTGAGTTGCTTAGCACCTCACTTTTGCTGAAGCTGGCTTTGAACTTGCAATCCTTCTGTCTCAGCCTCCTGAGTCACTTGGATTTTAGGCATGTGCCACCATGCCTGGTGAATCACAAGTTTTTTTTTAAAAAAAAATTCCACTATTGTTTTATGCTACTGATTCTAACTGTAACTCTGGCTAAAAGCTGCCAGAAATATCCTGAATGTTCTGCTGCCTTAAAATTTACTGTCATGTTAGTCAGTTGGTTACCTTTAAACTTAGCCTTTCACAAAGCCTCAGGCATGGACAAAATGCATTCAAATCCCTTGCCACAGTGTAAAGTGAGTGGGTGGCCTTTAGTCCCAATATTGCTTATTTCCATCTAAAACCTGAGCTTAACCTTTAGTATTCACATTTCTATCTATCAGCATTCTGATCTTCTAAGCCCTCACCAGAATCACCCATTAAGATCTGCTTACAACATTCTAAGCTTTAGGTAGTCTGCTTCTACAAACTTTTCCAAATTCCGACTGCAAACCAATTTTGAAAGCTTCTGAACTATATCATTAGTACAGTCACAGCAATGACCTCACTTCTTGGCACCAATTTTCTAGGAATTTCTCAATGTAATCAAGCTGACAACCAAGATTAACCACACTTTGTAGTAAAAATTGAGTTTAGTACTACCCCCCACCCCCACCCCGTACTGGGGATCAGACCCCAGAGGAACTCTATCACTGTGCTACATCCCAGCCTTTTTTATTTTGAGACAGGGTCTAAGTTATCCAGGTTAGCCTTCAATTTGCAATCCTCCTACCTTGGCCTCTTGTATAACTACTTCTTTATTGACAAAATCATACCCCCCAAAAGCTCCCAGCTTCTTGTACCAGTTGAAAGCCTTGGTTACAAACATGGTCCAAGTAGCTCAAAATTAGTTCTATGAAACAATACTATTCTAAGGCCATACTTATTTTGAAAGCCTGAAGTTTTTTCCCACAACTATAAAAGTACTACCAAGTTGAAAATCTTTATTTCATTAAGATATACAAATAGAGTTAATACAAAAGTCCACATCTTTTGTGGTTTCTAAACATTTGACCATCAATGGTTTCCACGAGAGGCTGTTCTTCATATTTCAGAGAAAGTTCAGATGTCTGACATTCTGTGAAAGCCCAACTTTTCTTCCTTTCTACCCATCAAATTAGTCTTTTCAGAAATCTTGCCGGATGTTTTCTTTGTTTGCCTCTCCATTTTGCTGCTTAATTTGAAAGATTTCATTTTCTAGTTGCACAATAGTCCGTTCAATTTCATAATTCTTACTGACCAGGGATACCCAACTAAAAAATGAAAGAAAAGAAAATGAAAATATTACTCAATATAAGATTTCTCTTAGACGATTTAATTTTAAATGTATGTACAATTTCATTGAGGGTTGTAACACTTAACTTTTCATTTAAAAAAACGGAGACACAATTGTAAAAAAAATAGGTGAAAGGTACAGAGACTTTCTCTGTATTATTTATTTTTTTGCAGTACTGGGGCCAAACCCAGAGTTCTGCATATGCCAGCCAAGCACTCCACCACTGGCCAGATCCTTAGGCCTTTTTATTTTGAGACAGCGTCTTACCTCATCCAGGCTGCCTTTGAACTTCCAATCCTCCTGCTTCAACCTCCTGAGTACCTCTGTATTATTTTTTTAAATTGGCACTTTATAATAGTGAAATTCATTATGCCGTATTTGTATATGCACATAATTTGATCAATCTCATTTCCCCATCCTGCTTGCTATACTCTACTGATCTCCCTTCTATTACTACTACTACTATTGTTTTAATTAGCATGTTATATTTGTAAGTGGGATTCACTGTGGTATATTCATACATGGACATAACATATTTGGTTGATTTCATTCCTCATTTATTATTACTTACAATTTCAAGTGAATCTACAATTATTTCAAATTAAGAAGTATAATTAATAAAAAAGTAAGTAGAAACAAATAGCAAATCAATAAGACAGAAAAGACAAGAAAGAGTATTGAAAGACAGTATTGGGTTAGTAGAAGAGAAAATAGGGCAGAAGCAACAATTATAGAAAAATGGTGGAAACAATTCTAGAACTGATAAAAAATAAACTGCAGATTTAAGGAAGGCTCCCTTTCCCCTAAAACAATCTCAAGGAGGCTATAATCTCAGCTACTTGGGAAGCTGAGGCAGGAGGATCACAAGTTTGAGGCGAGTGTGTGCAACTCAGCAAGACCTTGTCTCAAAATAAAATATAAGGTCTGGGAGTGTAGCACTTGTCTAGAATGTGCAAGGGCCTGGATTTAACCCCCAGTACCACACACACACACACACACACACACAGGGGGTGGGGTGGGGCTAGTCATGGTACAGAGTGCCAGATTAGCATGTGGGAGGCCTAGGGTTTAATTCTCAATGCTGACAAAAAGTAAACAATAAAACAATTAGAATACGAGTAGGTCTTATAAAGAGCCAGAAATACTGGACTAAAAACATGACAGGTACTCTAAGACCAGATCATTAGCTGTGGTCCAATTCTTATCTATTTATTTATTAATTATTTTTAGGTGGACACAATATCTTTATTTTGTTTTTATGTGATACTGAGAATCCAACCCAGTGCTTCATGCATGCTAGGCGAGTGCGCTACCATTTGAACCACATCCCCAGCCCCATGTGGTCCAATTCTTGTTTGTAACTCTTTTTTGCTTTCTACACTGAGAAAGGTGCAGATTTTGAAATAGTGAAGGGCAGATTTAGAAAACAGCATCTGACACCCGTGGAATTCCACGTGAATACTGTTTCAATCTTACTGAATCCTGATCACAGAAAGGGATAAGCAGTTTGAAACATGATGGAATTATTGACACTCACTTTGACTCCATTTCTCTTAATTTAGATCCAGCTGTAAGTTGCATGTTCTTTCGCTGCCAGTTTAAGTCCTGAATATGCTTCCTGCAAAAAGTTATTTACACAACCCAACTACATTTTAACGTTAAGAGTAAAATAAACAGAAAAAGTAACAGTCAATGTGAAAATGTCTTTAATCTCTTTAAAATAGACACATACACAAATAGTCAACATGAGAATACCTTTAATGTCCTTAGAACAGATACAGACACAATCATGGACTAGTTTTAGGAGTGAGCTTTCTTCTAGTTAAAATAAAAAGTACACCCAAACATGTACACATAAATTACAAATCAGAAGTCCCTCCTCCCCTGCATTTCTCCCACTTCCTAGTGAATGCTGTTGAGTTTTTGGTGGGGGCAATAGTTTAAATATGGACTGTCCCCTCCAAAATTCATGTTGAAGTTTAACCTCCACTGTGCATTATCAACAGTCAAAAGTTAATTGAACTATGGTGGTTGGGGTGGGCCTTTGCAATGTGAGAGATGATTAGGATTAGACAGTAACAGTGTGGAGCCCCAAATACTGAATACACCAGGTTTTTTAACAGTGAGAAAGGGACCTGAACACACACCTGTGCCACTTCCCCGTCTCTTGCCATGTGATGTCCTGCACCACGCTGGGACTCTGCCAGCAAGGTTATAACCAGATGTACCCCTTGACCTTGGATTTCCAGAACTGTAAGCCAAAATAAACCTCTTTTCTTTAAAACTTACCCAGTGTGAGGTATTATGCTGTTTGCAACAGGAAACAAAAAGACAGTGGGTGTCCTAGATTCTTTCCTCTGTGCACACATATGCAAAGACCGGTTTTTATATAAATCAGGTTACACATGTTATTCTACAATGTTCCCCCTCTTTTAAAGTCCCTTTTCTATGCCTGCAGACTTGCAAGTTGTATGACCTGGTAGAAATGTTTTCAGATTTTAAGCCTATTTCCCTTCCTCTCAGGAAGGACAAATCCAGTGCTAGATGCTGGACAGACTGTCCAGTGTTTACTGTCATATGGCTATAGTCTTATTGCTTTCTTTTTTCTTCCACTATCTATTAAGGGTTTGCTTAAACTGTATTCTAAAACAACAGGAAGAACAATTTACCTTAACTTCTGAAGCTCTTTCTGTGCGTGTTCAATCATATGGACTAGATTTCTAAAGAAGGAGAAAAGGAAAATCAGATTAAGGAACATTAAGACCTCATGGTACCAGCTAAACTACCTAGGTTCACACAAAGTTACATTTTCCTACTAAAAAAATAAACAATGAGATCTCTGTGCCCAATACATTAGATACTCCATTAACATTAGCTATTTTTATTCTCACAGGAATTGAGATAGGGTATGATTTATTATTCCAGTTACACATGTGAATAAAACGAGGCTTACAAGGATCAAGTAACTTGATCAAGATAATACAGGTGTTAGACATTTCAGGTTGGTTATTTTATTTTTTTCATAATAGGGACTGAGCCTAGGGGCATTTCACTGAATTAAATCCCAGCCAGCCTTTTCTGTTTTATGTTGAGACAGGGTCTCATTAAGTTGCAGAGGCTAGCCTTGAACTTGTGATCCTCCTGTCTCAGCCTTCCAAGTTGCTGGGATTATAGGCATGCACTACCGTGCCTGGTTGGATTTCAGGTCTTTTACATTCTAGAGCTAAGCAGCTTACAGATACTTTCATTTTGAGTACTTATGTCATTTCTTAAACTGTTATATCACTTTTTTTCTTGGAGATAGGTCGACTATGCTTTCCAGGCTGGCCTTGAACTCCAGGGCTCAAATAATCCTTGTGTCTTCAGCCTCCTTGGACTACAGGCACTTAACACTCCTGGCTTATCATAACTTCTTTTCAACAATCAAGAAGATGAAAAATATCTGATATACCTATTTTTTAATATGGAGCTTCTTGAGGATGGGAATCATGTTGTTCTCCTTGTGAAACAAGTTTTCTTAACTGACCTGTCTCTTAAATTTCTTCATCATCCAGATCTCATTCTCAATATTCTTTTATATCTCGATTTTCATATCTACATTAATCTTGTCTTATTCAACTCTGGTTTTTACTAAAAACTGAAAAAGAAGCTGTAGTAGGAGGCTAAAGATTCAGGTATCAGTCCAAGTCACTTCTAACTAACATAGGGGAAAAGTTCAATAGAGCACCATGTGATCATTATCACTGGAAGTGATTTGATGGTAGACTTCAATAAACTTAAACAACAGCTTTACTGAGACATTATTCACAAGCCACTTGAACACCTCTGGCCTGACGGTACTGTTGTTCCAGACTAATACTGTTTCCTAGTTGTGCTGCAGGGCTGGGCTTCTCACATGTGTTTCCTGATTTTCTAATTCAAATTTTCTGCTGTTGCCCTGAGTCAACTTCCTACCTCTACCGACTGGTTTTCTTGCACTAAATGCAATTCTCTAATGATTTGGTCTTCAAACATCCTCTCCCTGAAAGGTTATTTGTTGTCTTCTTCCTGTTCCATCCTCCTTCTTAAATTTATTTTGACAAAATATACTATTTTTGCATAGTATTCTTCCTCTGGAAAAGCTTCTATTGAGTTTGGAGGAGACAAAAAAAAGCTTAGGACAATGTTCAACAGTGAAGAATACTATGTGATTAAAGGAAAAACAAGTAACGTCCACCATAGTCACCAAGAAGAGGCACAGAGTACGATAGGCAGAATTTCAATCAGGGAAGACAGGCAGACCGGAATCAATGTTCTCTTGAATTTTATGGTTCCTCCCCGTACCTATGTTCTTCATTTTTGGACACCCAAATCGCCGATTACTGGTTCCTTGGCCTAGAATTTGTTTTCTTAACAATATATAGAGCTTCTTGAGGATAGGAATCATGCTGTTCTCCTTGTGAAACAAGTTTTCTTAACTGATCTCTCTCTTAAATTTCTTCATCATCCAGATCCTATTCTTTCTTTTGACCCTTCCTTTCTTTTGTATATTCATAAAAGAAGCTGAAATGTTTGTCTTGTAGTTTCCCAAATTCTGGGTTTTGTCCGTTGGATCACGATTTGGCAATAGAAACTTATAATTCTGAAGATCATACAAAAGCTATCTATTGTGGTTTTATTTTATACAATTGTTTAAGGAAACAGTCTAACAGAGTTTTACATATACTCATGAGGCTCAAAGGAACCACAGAGATAATTTTTTTTTTCTTGTAGTATTGGGGATCAAACCTAGGACCGTATGCTTATGAGGCAAGCACTCTACCAGCTGAGTTATATCCCCAGCCCCTCACAGAGATAATCTAACTACTGAATTTTACAGACAAGAAAACTGAAGTCTAGATAGAGAATAAATACTAAAGCTAAAGCTCATTACTTGGAACAGAAATGAGAGCTTAATGGGTTGTTTTGCCAGCAAAATCCTTTCTGATATTAGTTCTCTATTTATAGTTTGATTGTCATTATTCACAAACTCCATATTTTGAGAGTCTGTGTACCTACTTTATTTATATCCCCCAAATTACTATTTGCAATGTTTTGTAGTCATTCATGAATATCTGTACACCAGTGAAAACTCTTGAGATCCTAGGTATGCACATTCCCAGTTCCTAAGCAAGGAGACGCTCTGACTTTTTATTTTTGCTCTCATAAAGAGAAGCCCAGAGGACAGAGTTTAAGTTTCAAGTTTGGCATCTATTAGCAATGTGTCTTAAGTGTGATACTTTATACTTCTTAAGTTCATTTTCTCTCTTTTTTTTTGGATACTGGGGAATAAACTCAGGGGCCTCAACCACTGAACCACATCCCCAGCCCAATTTTTGTATTTTATTTAGAGATAGGGCCTGAGTTGCTAAGTGCCTCACCATTGCTGAGGTTGGCTTTGAACTCATGATACACCTGCTAGGTGTGCACCACTGTGCCCAGTTTGTTTTCTCTTTTTCTTTTTTTTAATTTGTTTTAATTAGTTACAATTTATTAATTAGTTAATTAGTTTTTTATTAAAAAAATCTATTAGAATTAGTTGTTTCTAAAATAACTTATGTGAGATGTATGTGTGTATACATATACATACTTCTAGAGATATGGTATGGTATTTAATTCAGTGTTTACTGGGACTAATGAGAATCAACTAATGAGAATCCCTAACATTAAGGATTACAGTCTATCAGGTGATTTGTATACTGGCCCTCACAACCCATTTTCTTACATCATTCTACAGTAAATGTGGTAGTTTAAAGTCAGGCCTCATTAGCACTCTTAAATTTTGAGATGGGTCTCAAAGTACTGGCTTTTCATAGGGGTTAGATCTAGGACACGATCCCAAGTCAAATCTAGCTTTATTATTTTTTATCCCTTGTCTGTTACCCAGTCTCCCATACTTTTAAAAAATATTAAAGCTTTGGGTAGGATGGGTGAAAAGCAGCTTACTCATTATATACTTTCCAGGCATTACATCCATGCTGAGACATTAGTTCCAGATTCTCAATTCGAACTGCCTGATGCTCTAACTGGGCCATAGAATTGTTTACACATTCTTGCCATGCGGTAATGTCATTTTTCTGACCAGAGGAAGGGGCTGGAAGTTCATATCTGAAATTAAACAACAAAATAAAATAAACCCACATATACTGCCAAGTTTTTATGCTTCTTCCCAATAAAATGCCCCATGCATTTATGCACACTATATAAAACTACAGAAGACTGAAGATGCAGACCTTACAAAAAAAGAAACCTATTAATCTTAAGACACAATCAATTTACAAATGAGATTTATTTAAAAAATATATATTTTATGTGATGCTGAGGATCGAACCCAGGGCCTCGCACATGCCAGGTGAGTGCTCTACCACTGAGCCACAATCTCAGCTCCTACAAATGAGATTTGGCACCATTGTATATAGTAACAAACAAACAAAAAAAGTTTACATCAATGTAAATCAGTTAAGTAAACTATATCATATTCACATAAAGAACTACCATATTAGCTATTAAATGGAAGTTCAGTCCAATCTCTCTTCATACTTGCAAGACCCTGTGCAGTAGTAGCTCAGGGGCACTGGACCACTGAGGCACATACCCAGCCCTATTTTGCATTTTATTTATTTAGATAGGGTCTCATTGAGTTGCTTAGTGCCTAGCTGTTACTGAGGCTGGCTTTGAACTTGTGATCCTTCTGCCTCAGCCTCCTGAGCTGCTGGGATTACAAGCATGAGCCACCATACCTAGCTTCTGCCTTATCATTATCACCTTTTCTTTTTAAATTTTGTGGTGCTGGGGATTGAACCCAGGGCCTTGTGCATGCAAGGCAAGCACTGTACCAACTGAGCTACCTCCCCATGCCTTATCATCTTTAAAAAGAAAAATGTTTCTGAAAAAATCTTAATATATAAAAGAAAAACCTAGGCTCCAAAAAATTTTGCTACCAGTTTTTGTAAATGATATCTGTTCTAGAGAAAAAAATTGGTAAGGAACATAATACTTGTTTGCCTTTAGAGCCTACTCTGTTCTCAGTATCTCTACACTGTCAATACAGCCAGCAAATACACTCTTCATAAATTTCAACTCATTATTAATGAGTTACTACAAATAACTTCTAAATTTCCATTTTAACATTCTTACCGTTTCATACTGAGCAATTCAATTGGTTGTCGGGCAGCCAGTCTTTCAAATTCATTTCTCATTATGTCAGTCTAATATATAAATCAGAGAAAAAATTATTTCCAAGTTCATACTGAAATTAATAATCAAACTGAAATTAATAATCACCAAATAATGAATTTAATCTACTCAGGTATTTATATTACCCATTATAATGGATCATTTTCCTTCTCCCAATTCTTCTTTTAGGTGCTGGGGACTGAACCCAGGGCCTAGCGCATGCTGAGTACATGCTCTCCCGCTAAGCTACACCCCAGCCATCCCTAAATCCTTCTCTGGATTAAATGCTTTCCAGGCTGGGCATGGTGGCACACACCTATAGTTCCAGTGACCTGGGAGGCTGAGGTAGGAAGATTTCAAGTTTGGTTTGACAACAGCCTGGGCAACTTAAGGAGATCCTGCCTCAAATAAAAAAAATAAATAAAAAGGGCTGGGGGTACAGCTCAGTGGTAGAGCACCCCTGGATTCAATCCCCAGTACTGGGGAGAAATTCTTTTTAGGATCTGAACATACACATGCTTTAATTCATACTCAGGCAGGAAAGGTGGTATATATAAAGAAGCGCACAAAAGAAAGGAATAATTCTTCTTCTTCTTCTTTTTTTAATAATTAAAGCTTTATCATTGTACATAGTAGCTGGGTTCATCCTGACAAACTCATAATAACATGCATGGAAATTAATTTCAGTTCACGATCCCCCCTTTTTCCCTCCCAACCTCCCTCATCTCTCCCATTCTTCTTCCTCTACTCTACTAGACTTCCCAAGAAAGGATTAATTTAAAAAAAAAAATAGTGTTTCTGGGACTCTGCAAATAATTTTAATCCCAGTAATATCTCACCCCTGGACTGGGGATATAGCTCAGTAGGTGCAGTGCTTGCCTCGCATGTACAAGGCCCTGGGTTCAATCCCCAGCACCACAAAACAAAAACAAAAAACCCCCAAACTCACCCCTCTCTCTCTTATTCCCATTTAATTGGTCTCAGGTGGAGCCTAGACATGATCCTACTTATTTTTGGTTCAGTACAGGGGACTGAACCCAGGGCCTTGTGCATGCTAGGCAAATGCTCTACTACTGAGCTACATCCCAGATCTTAAGTTTTGAGAGAGGGTCTTGCTAAATTGCTGAGGCTGGCCTCAAACTTGGAATCTCCTGCCTCAGCATCCCAAGTAGCTGGGATTAAAGGCGTGCACCACTGAGCTCAGTTGTATTAATTTTTGGGGGTACTGGGGATTAAATTCAGGCACGCTTGACCACTGAGCCACATCCCCAGCTCTATTTTGTATTTTATTTAGAGACTGGGTCTCTCTGAGTTGCTTTGTGCTTCATGTTTGCTGAAACTGGTTTTGAACTCACAATCCCCCTGCCTCAGCCTTCTGAGCCACTGGGATGACAGGTGTGTGCCACCAGGCCTGGTCTTATTTTTGTTTTTAACATTAGTTGATTGTCAAGTGAAGCTGGGTTAAGAACTATCAACCTGAGCACTTTTTGACAGTGGACGAAGAAGGGAGAGGACTTCAGGCATAAAATACTTTGCTTTAAGATTATGAGCCCAACTCTATACTTTCTTCCTTTTTTTAAAGAAATATATTTTTTAGTTGTAGGTGGACACAATACCTTTATTTGTTTAATGTGGTGCTAAAGATCAAACCCAGTACCTCATACCTACTAGGTGAGCGCTCTACTACTGAACCACAACCCCAGCCCCCAACTCTATACTTTCTATTTTGTCCTGGTTGCTATTTTCACACCTAATTCTTTGCAAAGAATGGAAGAAAAAGGAGGAAGGAGAAAATGTAATTTATTCTGCAATCTGCTTTAGCAATTTCACTATGGTAAAGATGTGCTATGGCTATGCCTCTTTTAAGTCCAACGTTCTGCTCAATATCCTAATCCCATTTCTATTCTGCATATTTTCTACCCTGAGTGTAAAGAACTGCTTAAATAAAATACTTATTTATAGTAATACTTAGGTCACTTCACACAATTTCAGTTGTCTGAGGGCTTCAACTATCCCAACAATCTCAGTAGAACAAGTTAAAGAAGGCCTTCCAGAAACCCACATTTCTTTTGACAAGTTTTACATTAAGCATTTCTTGTTGGAGAAAGCTGTTTTTGGGTTTGCTGAACTATACACAATTCTTAAGAAAAAAACACACGGTTATCTTGTTTTTTGCACAAAACTAGAGCTTTTTAGCTACAAGATTATACACAACGACAAAGAATAACAACTAACAATTAGCTAAGAGAGAACCTACAAAAATGCAGGCAAGTTACAAAGGAGCCCTTTTCTAACTTACATGGCCAGTAAGCAAAAGATTTAGAAATTTAGCTCAATGCTCCAAAGACTGAGCCAGGTTCATGAAGCTAAGTTATCAAAACACAGAACAAAACGAAGCAGAAAACTCTAGGCATGTTGAACACATGGTAAGCATTCATGATATAAAACTGCCTTGGAAGCTGTTTACACATCCATTGATCATCATCTGGACCTACTGTGTGCCAGGCAATGAAGATGACAAAAAGGTTCTTGTTCAGGGAGTTGTCACATTGCAGCTTAAAATTAAGGCCTCCCTCAACCACCCAATCTAGAGTAGTCAATCAGTCACTATCACATTACTATTTTAATTTTCTGTATAGCATTTATCAAGAATCTGGTATTTTCTGATTTGTCTGTCTCAATACTCTAGAATACAAGCTCTGTGAGGGTATGGGCCTTGCCTATTCTGTTCCCTAATACTCAGCACAGATATTAAAAAATAATTGTGAAATTAATTAAAGGGAGAGTAGTTTTCAAAGGCAGTTTGAAAAGCAATCAATGTCTTGGTGAATTAAGTTAGTTTTTCTAAACTTCAGTTTTACTATCTAAAAAATGGGATATAAATAGCTATCAGCCTGGAAGAGTAGTTTGTGCCTCTAGTCTAGCTATGTGAGAGGATGAATCAGGAGGAATCTGAGCCTAGGGGTTTGCAGCCAACCTGGGCAACAGAGCAAGACCTTGTTTCACTGAAAATGGTAAATAAGGAGTTATATAGTTCACAGGGCCATTCTGTAGACTAAGTGAGATAGTGAGTCCAGTATACTATTACCAAGTATAATTGAGAAAGGGTTAAATAATCATTATGCTAGTTACAAACGCAGGAAGTATGTTATATTTAAGAGAGGGAGAGAAAATGATTAAACAAATTAAAGTATTAAAAAGTTTGTGATTGAGGGCTGGGGTTGTGGCTCAGTGGCAGACCGCTTGCCTAGCATGTGTGAGGCCCTGGGTTTGATCCTCAGCATCACATAAAAAATAAACAGACAAAGGTATTGTGTCCAACTACAACTAAAAAATAAATATTAAAAAAAGATTGTGAGGGCTGGGGAGGTGGCTCAAGCGGTAGCGCGCTCGCCTGACATGTGTGCGGCCCGGGTTCGATCCTCAGCACCACATACAAACAAAGATGTTGTGTCTGCCGAAAACTAAAAAAAAATAAATAAATATTAAAATTAAAAAAAAAAAAAAAGATTGTGATTGAATGTTATTATCTGAAACCTCCAGAAATCAGAACAATAAGGAAGCAATGGTGGTATGATGGGGCATGATTGTACATGGCTACAATCACAGCTACACAGAATGAGGCAGGAGGATCAAAAGTTCAAGTCTAGACAGGTGCAGTGGTGCATGTCTGTAATCCCAGCAGCTAAGGAGGCTCAGGCAGGAGGATTGAAATTCAAAGCCAGCCTCAGCAGGTTCGTGAGGAACTAAGCAACTCAAGAGAGATGCTGTTTCTAAATAAAATATCAGAAAAGGGCTAGGGATGTGGCTCAGTGGTTAAATAGCCCTGGGAGAAAAGGAAGGAAGGAAGGAAGGAAGGAAGGAAGGAAGGAAGGAAGGAAGGAAGGCTGGCCAGCCTTGGAAGTTGCCCAGGGGTAGAGCACTTCACTACCATGCATGAGGACTTGGGTTTGATCCTTGGTACCACCAAAACAAACAACAACAAGTAATAATAATAATAGACAACTTAAAGAAAGCATGGGAAAATAGCAATGATGGGCCACATATTTGAAGGTGACACCAAACGATTACAATGGAGCTGAAAAATATCTATGTCTAGTGTCATATTAATGTCATAGTGCAATACATGTGTTTGTGGAGATGCTGTGCAAACCTATGACACTGTCAGTCATTATTTAAGAATGACAGTATACAACTATGTTACTAGTTGAATGTATTTACTATGCTTTTTTTTTTAAATGGTACTGGGGATTTAACCCAGGGCCTCCCACATGCTAGGTAAGCATTCTACTACTGAGCTGCACCCCTAACTTCTTTAACTTTTTATTTTAAGACAGAGTCTTGCTCATTTATTGCCCAGGCTGGCCTTAAACTTGTTATTCTTAGCCTCTGGAATAGCTAGGACTACAGGCATGTGCCACCATGCCCAGGTATACTATGCTATTGTGTGTACTCCTATTTACTAAAGACTTTATACCCCCTTATGCCAGCAGCACCCTCATATATATGTTTCCTTCTCTACTGACTGCATCACCAGGTCATCTGAAGTGACTGACCTGTATGGTATCTAGGATAGGATACTTGGTGCAACACGAAACAGACCAGCAAATAACTGGTACCTTGGGTGTTTGTGTGCTTGTGTGTGGTGATGTCCACTGGACCCCCCAGCTTTGCCGTGTTCCACAAGTGCTCTATTATTAAGCTACAGCCCTAGCTCTGTACTACCTTTTAATAACACAATCCTTTCATAAATACATGGTCACATATTTGGGGAAAATAAAACCTCTAAATATGTTGAAATGTTATCCAATAGTCCAGAAATGACATTTTACATTTTGGCTAGCTGATTAGATCCTAACTAGTATCTTGGGTGCACTTCTAGGTTAAACATTTAAAATGGTATATACTTAGACGTGGTTTGTCCACTCATTCACACACATTTGGTAAATATCTAGGCTTTGATAAAAATGTCGCCCTCCAGTGGTTCTAAAGAGCATTGGTAATTAAGCCTACATATATTAAAAACCCTAGATTACTTGCTGCACAGTGGATCTGGAGGGTAGAGGATCCCTTTGAGAATTTATCCACACAGACTTTTGCAATAGGAGCGTTCGAGGAGAGTTTCTGCATTAGGAGAGTTCCTTCTCCGGTTCTCAGAGTAAGAATCTCGGACAAGGATTAGCTATCTGCTGTTTTCAGATAAACACAACGACATGTAAGTAGCAGCTAAGAAAACAACAATTAAGCTGGAATTTAAAATTCACATTTACGTAGCTAAAACTCTCAATCCAAAATAAAGATCCACGGGAATCCTCGTTCGTACGCAGGGCTGAAGCCTCACACTTACTTCAAATGCAGAATAATCCGGGGCTGTGAGGTAGCTCAAGTAGTTCTTGGTAGGTCGGTATCTGCGAGTTTCCTCCTCCACCAACGCTGCAGCCTAAAAAAAGCAGGGGCCAGGTTACAAGCGACAAATTATAACGCGCCTCCTCCGCCACCGGCCAGTGAGCGCTGTCAGCCACTCTGGCAGCCCGCACTCACCGCTTCTCGCACGCCAGGCGCTTCATAACCTTGATCAAAATACGGAAGCGCGTCCACCACAACCTCGCCGGCCACTAGCCCCGTGCCCGCCATTCCAGAGACTTCAGGTTCTCCGGTGTTTTCTGAGTCTGCGCAGGCTCAGTCCCGTTTGATTACGCCTGCGCCCTGCGCTGATGTAATCCACGTCGCCCGCGCAACGACTTTTAGCGCATGCCCAATTGCTAAATCTGAAGGCAAGCCAGCTCTGCTGCTAGAAATCGCAGGGCTCTGACGTTTGGGTCGGAAGTGACGTCACGCGCCGTCGTCTCCGCGGAAGGACTCAATTTTCAGTCTTCGGTTTGCTGCGTTTTTTTGTGTGTGAATGGCAGCAGTCTAGTGGAGTTGGGACTTTTGTTACCTCCAGGAGGTCGATTCCTGGCAGGAGAGCCCCTTCAGATTTCTGGAGGAACTGGTTGCAGGATTTGGCAGGAAATGAGAAAGTGGTTTCCCAGCTCAGCTCGATTTACTCTAACCTCCACCTTCTCCCAAGCTTTTCACTCGTGTGCTGGGATTTTCGTGCACTTTGTTGCCCACTTTTAAAAGCCCTGCTATTTTGCCTTTAGAGCACACAAAAAACCCAGTCATTTTGCCTTTAAGACTGGGCGCAGTGCAGCATCCCTGTAATTCCAGTGACTCAGGAGGGAGGCTGAGGCAGAAGGATCACAATTTCCAGGCCAGCCTCAACAAATTAGCTAGACCTGTCTCAAAAAGTAAAAAAAGCTGAGGATGTAGCTCTGTGGTAAAGGGCTCCCTGGGTTCAATCCCCAATACCAACTGGGAAGGAAGACCTAGGGTAATAGAAAAGCACTCATTGCCTCCTAACCATTCAAGCTGCTGCCAAAGCCATATTCTTTGCTACTGGCCCCCCAGACTAAGCTGCCTCCCTTTAACTAAGCAGGTAAAGGCCAACGAAGATTCTTCGACTACATACCCTGTCCATTGTGTAATCGACCCAGTCTTGTTTGCGAAGACCTTTGTAAATGTTGGCCACGGTATTTAAGCCTGGTTAGTCTATGGTGGATTCGGATTATTTTTCTAATTTACCATTAAGTAAATGTGCTACCTGTAGATTTAAGTGAAGTAAAAACATCTTTACATCTTAAAACAATTTTGTTTAAAATTCTTCGAGAGATTTGTGCGTTTTTTAAATGTTTTTATTCATTAAAAGAACATTTTATACAAATCTTGAGCAATTCTTTTACAAAGGTATCCAGAATTCACAATACATTACGAAAACAAAATACAACAGACCAAGGAAAGGAAGTGACTTTCAGATTGCAAGGATAACATAAGACTCATCCCTGAAGGAGAGTAAGACTCTCATCCCTGAAGCAAAGTCTCCCTGCAGAGGGATAACCAGGATCCACCACAGTAAACCTTTCTACCCCCATGGCATAAACACTCAATGACTAATTGTTCCCTCAGGCTTAAGAGTATAAGAAGAGATTAAATGGGGAGGAGTATGGTAAGTGAAAGCTGCTTAATCAAGATTTTAGAAGACACAGGCTAAGTTCTATTCCTGGACCCACATCTGTAGGAACTATACACAGCACCAGCCTTAAATGGCATCTACTCCAGATTCATTCAAGCACACCTGAATGGGTTATAATGACAATACTGTACAAGGATTTTAAAAGTATGAATAAATATTTTCTATGGCAGTTAAAACCATGAGCAAAAGTTAAAAAAAAAAAAAACCTGATATTTTCTATAATATTATCAATGAAAATTACACCATCACTGACAAATTCCTCTTTCCAATCACTTCTACTTTTGATATTAAAGATCTAGGTGACTAAGTGGTTATGCTCAGGAAATGTTCATATTCAGAGTCAAATTTAATTAGAGTTAAAAGCCCAATGATGTTAAGAGAATCAAAGAAGAGTCTTATGGTGGGGGTGTAGCCCAATGGTAGAGCCGCTGTGAGGGGCCCTGAGTTCTATCCCCAGCACCACAAAAACAAACCCTCTCTTGGCCCATGTAATTTAAAATCCCTTATCCTCAGAGCTGAAAGTTCACTCTAGTATGTTTAATGGAAAACTGTTTAAATAGCTATAATCCTAGAGAGTTCAAATTTCCATCTGCAGGACTAACAAATTTCTCTGTGTTCATAAAATAAAAGTTCTAGCATCAGCTCTGAATTGCATAACTTTGGCCAAATTATTATGCCTCTTTTAATTCCAGTTTCTTCATTAGCAAAATGGAGACACAAAATCAAAAATTTAAGACTTGCATAAGATGACATACATACATATACTACAATGCATGGCAAATGGGGAACACACAAATATGTCCTTGCAAGGACATTTCCATATTAGCTATAATTCCTCAAAATTTAATGCTGACACGTGAGGGATAAGTTATTCAAGTGCCACACATTGTGGAGGAGAAGCTGCAAAATATTTACTTTTATAAAGAACTCAATTAACAGTACTGAAAAAGTAGGGTTTCCACATAAAGTGAGGTTACCCTTGGAAGGCATTAAACAAAAAAGCCTGGAGACAAATGATGAGTATATTCCAGTTTGTAAGCTCCAACATCCCATGGGTTTCAAGCTGCCATGATGTTTCAGAGATGAGAATTACATGTATAAGGCTAATGTTTTCCATTTCAATCAGGCCTCTCTAGTACTTAAAACTCACCCTTTCTCTCATTACACTCATCTTTGAGCTATTGGATAAATGCAATACCAACAAGCCTTTCCCTTGCCTTCACAGACTAAGCACAAAACACAGAGAATGAGCCCATAAAAGGCCACAATAGAAAAGCTGGAGGCAGAGTAACGAGCATCAGTTCCAGATCACTCCCAACAGTTCTCCAGTAATTACTCAGCAGCAACAGGAGAGTCTTCTTCAGAGCCTGACTTGCTCCTTAACCTTTTAAAATTTCAAGGATTTCGTAGAATATTTCAATGCATCCTGCCCTTAGAAAAAATATTTTTTTGGCACTTTCTGTTCTATTTAGGATGGAGACATTCAAGTAAAGATTTCATTTCTTCTGTAGAAATTTCATTTTGCTTCCTAAAAGGCAAAAAAAAAAAAAAAAAAGTGAACTCTCAATTTATTTTCACTTAAAGTAAATTATTTGAGGCACGGGATTAATAATTCAACTATTCAAAACATCCCAAAAATTGAGCTTTCATCTCAAGTCCTATGGTTTGAATAAGCGTACCCCAAGGCTGAAGTAGTAAAGGTTTGTTCCCCAGCTTGTGGCACTATTGGGAAGTGGCAGAACTTTTAAGAAGAAAGCCAGTCATGGGGGGGCATGTCCTTGAGGGGATATTAGGACCCTGGCCCCTTTCTGTCTCTTTGCTTCTTCCATGAAGTAAGCGGCTTCCTCTGCCCTGCATTCCCACCATGCCCCAGGCCCCAAAGGAGTGGAGCCAACTGACCATGGATTGGAGCCAACCTCTAAATCTATGAGTCAAAATTAACCTTTCCTTTTTTTTTTAATTTATTTTTTAGTTTTCGGTGGACACAACATCTTTATTTTATTTTTATGTGGTGCTGAGGATCGAACCCAGCACCTCGCGCATGACAGGCGAGTGCACTACCACTTGAGCCACATCCCCAGCCCAACCTTTCCTTTTTTAAAGTTGATTTTTTTAGGTATTTTGTTATGATAATGAAAAGCTGACACACCAAGATATCAGCTGATGTGTTTAACCATCAGAACATCCCTGTTTCTAATTGCAGAGATAGAAAAAAACTCAGACATAATCCAATTCAGTGATTTAGATTTAAAATCACCTAGCATACTCCCCAGGGATTTCATAGACCCTGAGGAAATTTCTTAGGCTCTCTGGAGATTAGTCTTTAGTGCATCTGAGAACCACTGATCTAATCTAATCCCATGGTATAAAGATGAAACAACAGCCCAAGGCATTATTTGTCTATGGTCTCTCAGCTAGTTAGGTACAAGATTAAATGAGGGACATACATTTTAAAGACCAGTATAAATATTATGCAATACAGGTTCTTCACTGTTTTAGGGTAGCCCACCAATGTTCTTATACCATACTGGATAACTATTTGAAAAATCATAAATGTTTCTTTATGAAGTGCATAATCTTTTGCCTCAGAGTTCCTCTAAATCAGGTGTTTTTAATCTGAAGTCTATGGATAGGCTTGGGGGGGGGGGTCCACAAACACCCTAAAATTATATGCACAATTTATTTGCACGGGAAAAGGGGCCACAGTTTTTATAAGATTATCCAAGAGACACAGCCTAAAAATAATTAATAATCATGGTATGGAAACTTATATCATAAAGGGACAGTTCAGGGAGCTTCATCAGAACAGGCTACTCTGATGGGGGTTCCAACCTCTGAGAGTTTTTCTCCCAAACACTTTGGAACTAGGGTCATGCTTTTTGCTCAAGTCTACTTGAGGATACACTAATCTGATTATAAAGCCTTTGGGATGAGCTTTGCTTACTGGAGAGCATTTTTCCCCCCTTCAGCAACATTTCTCTTATAGTAAATCACGGCAACTCACCAAGACTCCGCAAAATTCTATTCACCCCACTGGGCTCAGACTCAGGAATTGTTTCCAAGTACTGGAGCGCCCGGACCTCAAACAAACCTATAAAGAAAACTCATGTTGGTAAACCTGTTCAATGCTCTGGAAATTAGTTAAATAAAAATTTATTCTTATTACCAGTATATTATTTCAATATTACAAAATAAATAATTCTCAAACTGAACAATTCCAAGTTTGAGCCCTTATAGCTTTACATTGTTTTTGGATTAAATTATTATATTCATGCTATTTAAGCCATCACTAAATAAAGAGAACTCTAGGATTAAAACTGACCTTTAACTCCACTTTTCCGAAGCTCTCGGTCCTGGATGAATCCTGCAAACATCTGAGTCTCCATGAAAAGATCAAGAAAGTGGCGTACACTTCGGGATGTGTGAGATTTACGGAATGGTTCCCTTTGGAATACTCGCTCCCCACGCTCAGTGACAGTCATGTTCAAAGAATAATGTCCAACCAACTCCACAAAAAACCTGACAAATGCTTCAGACACCAGAGAATTGAGTGTCACATCTGCTGCAAAATGAAAGAAAAAAAGAAAAGAGAAAAATCTCCTAAATGTTGAGTATCTGGGAACACGGG